CGACCGACTGAAGGTCTGCCAACTTGTTTGCTAATTCTTTTACTTCCTCATCCCTCCGTAGGCACCTATCCCTCCATACCTGAAGGTTATCTTCGTTACAGTACTTGCCTTGTTTTGTCCTCTTCGAAGTGTCGCCCTCCTGGTCGATGTCTTTCGCGCCGTGGGTCTGGTCACGAGTTTCTGCATTGTGGTTGTCTCCTTCAATGTCAAGGTCAATTGGTCTGCCACTCCCAGCAGGGGTGTCGCCCCCAATGTTTTCCTTCTGTCCGTTACTGGCCATCTATTCTTCTAAGTTCCCACAAACGACGCCAAATTGTGTGGGTAATTTTCTGACCACACTGCCCGCCTAGTAATCAGCTGGAGAGCACCGGCGGAATAGATGGCTTCAACCAACCTGTAACAGAAAGAAAAGGCTCCGGCAGTGGCTCTTCCACCTGGGGACACTCCGACGATCAAGTCAGTATATCTCTCAAAGATAATCAAGTGCTAAACTCATTACTCAAAGCATAAAATTGCGTACCTTAGACCCACGGGGGCGCCTCTATTTTATAGCCAACTCAATCTTGATCCCACTAGAAGCCTGACTTCTATGGACTCCCATTCAGTGCTTACTTTGGATTTCTCAAGAGATAAAGATAAACTCCCTAAGAGTTTTATCCTTATCTTAACTAAGTCTTCTCTTTACTCTAGGACTCTTGTCCCTTATCTTTTTTCCATTTATCTCGGATTCCGATATCTTCGGAGACAATCTCGGCCTTGCCGAGATCACCTCGGCGTCACAACCTGGACACGTGGCACCTCGGCTGACATGTCGGCGTCACCTTGCCACGTGTTGGTATTCAGAAAATACATCCCCACACATGCATCATGAAATTTCAAGATTTTGAGATTTTAATTCATGTCTTATGAGTTTGAATTTGGATTTGATATGAGAAAAATTAATAAAAATCTAAATTAGAGCAATTCAAGATTTTAATTATGGCTTGAGCTTGATTATGTAGAATTGGTTGGATTTTGATGAATGTTTCATGCATGCAAATGATTTTCTAAGAAATTTATAACTTTAATTTCATGTTTTGAAGGAAAATAGAAAGAACTTGAAGTCAATTTTATGTAATTAAAAGAAAATGAGGAATTGAAGCTATGTTCGAATTTATGAAAATTAATTTAGAATTAATCACATTGAGTTTCAATTGTACATGCATTGTGAATTTTTACAGCCTTTAACAGCGGTAAAAAACCGCCGCTAAAGTCCAATTTTGGCGTAGTGGAAATTAATCACATTGAGTTTCAATTGTACATGCATTGTGAATTTTTCAAGAGTTTTGAAAGTTTAATTCATGTTTTAAAATTTTTGGGTTTGAAATTGGGTTTGATATAGATAAAATAAATTAAATCTAAATTTGGACAAATACGAAAATAAATTATAATTTATATTTGAGAATAAAAAATTAGTTTGATTTTGATTTGAATTTCTTACATGTAAATATTTTGAAATGGCTTTATAGCTTTAACTTATGTTTTATAAAACAAAGAAAAAGAATGTTGGAATTATTGTATTCATGAAATTATTGGTTTTAATCTTAATGATCAAAGAGATTTTTGTATTAGAAATTAGAAAATTAGTCATGGGTTTATCTTTATTAATAAAATTACATGTTTAAATTGGTTCATGCAAGAGCTTAAGTTTTGAAAATGTATTTAGAAATTATTTGTTGATTTTGAAAGCATAGGAAAATTTCTAGCCGCTCGAGCAAAAAAGTCATTGCTCAAGCGAACATTAAGGCCAACCAATATTTTTATAAAACTTTGCAGACCGCTCGAACGACCAAAGGTCCGCTCGAGCGAAGACCCTATTTTCAGCATATTTTGAAAAATTGCATTTAATTCACATTTTTATTCTCATCTCTTTCCAAAGCATTCTAGACATTATTTATGGCTCAATAAAGATTAATAAGCTAACCATCAACATTAATTAGTTGATTAAAAGAATAAGTTATTAACTTAGTAGTACTTGATTAAGAAGCCAAGTAAGAAATTGTTTTATTTAGAAAAGAATGATTTAGTAATGAAAGGATATGTGAAATGAGAACCCGATCTATTTAAATAAGAAAGAATAAGCGTAGTAGAACTCCGGACTACTTAGACAGAAAAAGACAAGACAAGTCAAGTTTGATCAAGGAATTGATAATAAGCTAACAATCAACATTAATTAGTTGATTAAAAGAATAAGTTATTAACTTAGTAGTACTTGATTAAGAAGCCAAGTAAGAAATTATTTTATTTAGAAAAGAATGATTTAGTAATGAAAGGATATGTGAAATGAGAACCCTATCTATTTAAATAAGAAAGAATAAGCGTAGTAGAACTCCGGACTACTTAGACAGAAAAAGACAAGACAAGTCAAGTTTGATCAAGGAATTGATATTGTATTTCAATGTGTATATGTTATGTGCTTGTGTAGGTCACGCGCTATTGTCTGCCTGATTTGTCTGATCTGTCTAATCTGTCTGATCTGCTTCTGCAGCTATCTGTGAGTAATAACTTAGTAAAGTTATGTTCAACTTTATTTATTTTCTGTATAATGAATTAAGATATTTTTTCTGAAATGATATGTTATATACAATGAATGATTGTCCAGTTTTTGACAATGTATTCGTGGCATCCTTAGCATCATGTGATATCTGTTAGCTGTTACTTGGTACCGGAAGTTCCATTATGGAACTTAATATGTCTACACTTTGTTACCCGTACCGGAGGCTCCATCATGGGGCTCAGTATATCTATTCTCTGTTACCCGGATCTGGAGGTTCCTTTATGGAACTGGTTATTCATAACCACCATATGTTCTGCATCTGTTCTGTTAGCGCTAATGGATGTACCACGTATGATTAAGCATGAACTCTGATTTCTGTATACGATTTGAACAAGAATATAAATATGAATCTGTTTATGAATCTGAATTGTGATTTATGAATCTGGTATGGACATCATTCATTAAAACCCTTTACTCTGTTATTATTTACTGGGCTCTAGCTCACTGTATTGTTTATGTACGTAGGTGATCAAGCGCGTGACCAGGCTTAGAGGCGTCTGCCTAGAATCTATTTTTGTTGGCCAACCTATGTGCCTTTCGTGGAGGTTCCGGCTATGTCAAGTGGCTGTGGCTATGTGATTTAAAGTTTAAGTTTTGTTTTCTTGTTTGGTTAAACAAGTCTTTGTGTATTTTGTAAATAGGGTTAAGTCCCTTTTTGTCTAATCTGTATATATATAATGACGTAAGGATGATGTGTATATATGTATATAAAAAGTTTATTTTTTTTTTGTCTCATATAAGTCAGCACAGCTCAATGGACGTCGTATATTTGTTATTTGCTTCCGTTAGCCCCTAATATTATGTTAATTCGTCGTAGAGGCCTTCGGTAATCCCAAGATTACTGGCCGGTTACGATGCTAAACCTATAGGGGTGGGTTTGGGTCGTGACAACTGCCTCCCTTGCCCATCTCCAACAAGGACCACAACTCCTTCCTAGTGCTAGCTACCACTCCTAATCCCTTCACAACCTTACACTATACCTCCAATCCCTCAACCCACCCACAGGCTCTACCACCTTGAGTCTTCATCACTGCGACCCTCCACTACTACGATGTCTACCTTTGTACCTGCCAACCATGATGCCTCATATTTATGACCATTTCTTTTTCTTGTCTTGCGATCTCTATATCTTTCTCTTAGTTGGATATGTGTTTACTGGAGTATAAGGTCATGAGGTGGGTGGTGCAATTGCAATTGTGATCGGTAGTGGTTGTGATTAGGGGAGGTTGGTCAAAGGAAATGAAGGCTAGAGATTTAATTTGTTGGAGATAAAAATGAATAACACTGAAACAGAGGCAAAACAAAGAAAACAGAGGCAAACAAAGAAATATAGAAAGTCTGAACTTTCGGGTCATCTTAGTCAATTCACAAAATACTGAAGCTAATGTGCCTATATATAGGCTTACAACCAAAACAACCAAACATAATTTTACGGACCACTAAGTCACTAACGTAAACCCACTACAACCACTAGCATAATATTAACAACAATATCAACTACCCAATTGACTAAGCAAACTCAGAAAAATACGGACACTACTAACAGCCCGAAGAGACCGAGTTAGACTTTGAATCATTCTTCAACACTCTCCCTTGATTCAAAGTTGTAAATGTCAAGGAAAGCTTTGAAGTAGAAAAACTTTTCTTTCGACAAAGACTTCGTCAGTATATCAGCCAGTTGCTTCTGAGTGCTATAGTACTTCAAAGTTATCTCCTCCTTCGCAACCAAATCACAAATGAAATGGAAACGAATATCTATATGTTTTATTCTGCTATGAAATGTTGGATTTTTTGTCATAAAGATGGTTGCTTTGTTATCACAAAAGATCTCTGTTGTTCGCTTTTGCCTTTGTTGAAGTTCACAAAACAACCAAATATAATTTTACGGACCACTAAGTCACTAACGTAAACCCACTACAACCACTAGCATAATATTAACAACAATATCAACTACCCAATTGACTAAACAAACTCAGAAAAATACGGACACTACTAACAACCCGAAGAGACCGAGTTAGACTTTGAATCATTCTTCAACACTCTCCCTTGATTCAAAGTTGTAAATGTCAGGGAAAGCTCTGAAGTAGAAAAACTTTTCTTTCGACAAAGACTTCGTCAGTATATCAGCCAGTTGCTTCTGAGTGCTATAGTACTTCAAAGTTATCTCCTCCTTCGCAACCAAATCACAAATGAAATGGAAACGAATATCTATATGTTTTATTCTGCTATGAAATGTTGGATTTTTTGTCATAAAGATGGTTGCTTTGTTATCACAAAAGATCTCTGTTGTTCGCTCTTGCCTTTGTTGAAGTTCAGCTAACATTCTTCTTAACCATTTAGCTTGACAAGCTGCTGAAATGGCTGTAACGTACTCAGCTTCTGAGGACGATAATGCTATTGTGGCTTACTTCTTTGAGCTCCAAGTGATTACTCCTGATCCAAGAGTAAAAACATTTGCTGAAATACTCCGCCTATCATTCAACGAACTTGCCCAATCGTTGTTCGTGAACCCACATAATTTGAAATTGAAAACTTTTGAGTACCAAATCTCATAATCCATAGTTCCAGCGATGTAACACAAGACCCACTTCGCTGCTCCAAAATGAAGCTTTGAAGGGTGTTGCATAAACCTGGAAATCATACCAACAAAAAATGCAATATCGGGTCGAGTGTAGGTCAGATAAATTAAACCACCAACCAAGCTTTTGAATCTGGCATCAGCCATTTCTGCCCTATCTTCACACTGTAATTTTTCATTGATATTCATGGGTGTAGTTGCTGGTTTACAATTAAGCATGCCAAATTTATTAAGAAGATCCTTGGCATATTTTCTTTGGGAAATAAAAATCCCACCTTCTGCTTGTTGGACCTCAAGGCCAAGAAAATAATGCAGCAAACCCATATCAGACATTTCAAACTCATGCATCATACGTGATTTAAACTCAGCCGTAAGAGAACTAGAGGAGCTTGTATAAATGATATCATCAACATAAAGACAAATAATGATGAAATCATTTTTACCTTCCTTCCTCACGTAGAGAGTGGGCTCATTTTTACTTCCTAAGAATCCATTTTGCTGAAAGCATCCATCAATTTTGCTATACCATGCCCGAGGAGCCTACTTCAATCCGTACAATGTCTTTCTCGACTTGTACACCTTTGTCTCTTTGCCTTCAATCATGAAACCTTCGGGTTGAGTTACATAAACTTCCTCTTGTAGAACTCCATTTAGAAATGCATGTTGCTGTGCATATCCCTTCGCCACAAGCTGAGCTTTGTGCTTTTGTATATTTCCATCTGCACCAAATTTTGTCTTAAATACCCACTTCAAACCAATTGCATTTTTGCCTTCCGGCAAGTCCATCATCTCCCATGTTCTGGTCTTTTCAATTGCTGTCAATTCTTCAATCATTGCTCTTTGCCATTCTTCTTTTGCAGCTGCTTCTCCATAAGTTATAGGATTTGAAACAGTAAGAGCAAATTGGCAAGACTCATAAATGTCCCTTAAGGATTTAAACTTTCTGGGTGGCGTTTCATCCGAAGACTCTTCAAGAGTGGACGGAGAGTCTCTCCTTGGTGAACTTGGTGACGCTATAGAGGAACTGGATGAACTTGTCGGAGTTGGCTCTTGACTTTTATTTGGAGAGATTCCAATAGACATAGGAACCTATTGGTGCATCTTCTCATCGCTTCCACGCCAATCCCAGATTACATTTTCATCAAATACTACGTCCCTTCTAATTAAAAACTTGCCGCTAAGAGGGTTATATACTCTATATACTTTGGATTGTGTACAGTAACCAATGAAAAATACATTTTTCAGATTTTTCATCATGTTTATGATGAAATTGAGAATTTACCAAAGTATAAGCAATACACCCAAAAACTCTTAAGTGACTTACAAATGGTTTTGTGCCACACCAAGCTTCAAACGAAGTTCGATTCATGACTGCCCTTGTGGGAGAGAGATTCAATAAATAAACTGATGTTGCCACAACTTTAGCCCAAAATTCGTTCGAAAGTCCCTTTGCTTGTAACATGCTTCTTGCCATCTCCATAATAGTTCAATTCTTCTGTTTCGCGACGCCATTTTGCTTTGGAGTGTAAGGAGTTGTCAACTCCTTTTGAACGCCATTTTCTTCACAAAAAATATCAAAATCTTTGGATAAGAATTCTCTATCTCTATCAATGCGAAAAACTTTGATGCAAAATCCACTTTGTTTTTCAACTTTAGCTTTGAAGTGTCTGAATTTCTTAAAGGCTTCTGATTTGTTTTCCAAAAATTAAACCCAACTCATGCAACTATAATCATCAGTAAATAGCAAGAAATAACGACTTCCACCAAGGATTTAGTTTGCATAGGTCCACATAAATCAGCATTGTTAGACTTATTTATTTTGATGATTTATTTAATTATGTTTTAATTTATTTGAAAGAGAAAAATATAATCCAAAATTTATTTTGATAATTTATTTAATTATATTTCAATCAAAATTTATTTTGATGATTTATTTGAAAGAAAAAAATAGAATCAAAATTTATTTTGTCCCATTATTTTTCACCTAAACCTTTATCCTAAATGTTGTTAGAATGTATTTAATATTTGATTAAATCAAGAGTTCAAATAGCCCAAAACAAAGGTTTAAACAGCCCAGCACAGCAGCATGTCAAAAGGTTCAAGTAGAAGATATTCAAATTAGTAATGATGGAAGTATAACAGCTATAAAGGTTCAAAAGGCCAAAAGGTTCAAAAGCTTCAAGTGGAAGATATTCAAATTTGTAATGATGGAGAGGAAGAAATTCAAATTAGTAATGATGGAGTACAATGGCTATAAATTCAAATGACTACAACGACTATAAACGACTATAATTTTCATTATATATACCAAAGCTTCTAATGTAAACAAGTTACAAAAACTTGAAAATATTCTTTGATCTATAATCACTCACATCTATTCTCAGAAATTATACACTGAGCCTTATAGCATTAAGGTTATCTTTCCTGTGTGAGATTTACAGAAAAATCAAAGTTTTATTTTATATATCTATCTTTGAGAGATATTTATTGTAAGCTTTCTTTGAAAACAAAAATATCATTTCATCTTGTAAAAGTGTTGCAAACACTGTGTTCTTGAAATCTTGAGAGTGATTGTGAATCACTTAAGATTTGCAAGGGTTTAGGCTTGTGAAGTCTGTGTAAAATCCGTGGAGGAACCTAAGATTTGCAAGGGTTTGGGCTTGTGAAGTCTATGTAAAATCCGTGGAGGATTGCTCCATTTGTAAAGAGGTTGCTAGCACCCCTGTGAAGCTAGAAGATAGTGGAAAATCTCAAGTGAAGCTTGAGGAGTGGATGTAGGCTTGGTTGAAGCTGAACTACTATAAATCTGTTTGTCTCCTCTTCCCTAATCTCTTTACTTTCCTACTACTGCTATAGCTATGTAATATTCATGTGTTAATCATTTGATTTACCCTGTATGTTAGTTATACTTCATTGTTATTTTGCTTGATCGTTTACTGCCAAGTTCACTATTGTGCTCGTTAATAATTTGTTGTAATAGTAGTTAATTTTATTGGGGTATTATTAATTTTAATTTGTAGAAACCTAATTTACCCCCCTCTTAGGTTGCTTTTTGGGTAACAATTGGTATCAGAGCTTAGGGCTCTTGTTTAGATTTAACAATCTTGAGTTTTTGATCCATGGCAACCATGTATTTTACTTACTCTGCTGTAGGACAAGCTAGCAATAGGCCACCTCTCTTTGATGGTAATAATTACATTCATTGGAAAGAAAAAATGACTTTTTATCTTCAAGCTACCAATTATGCTTTGTGGCTCATTATCACTAAAGGTCCCAAAATCCCTACCAAGGTAGTAGACCATATCAGTGTGCCTAAACTTGAGGATGAATTTGATGAGTGTGATTATAAACTCCTTTAAGCTAATGCTAAAGCCAAGCTTATTCTTGTGTGTGGACTAGATGCAAATGAGTACAATAGAATTTCTGGGTGTATTACTGCTAAAGAGATTTGGGATAAACTTGAAATCACCTATGAAGGAACTACCAAATAAAAGAGTCTCGGATTGACATGTTTATTCATGATTATGAATTCTTTGCTATGGAATCATTTGAATCTATTTCTGAGATGCTTTATAAATTTACCAATATTACTAATACTCTAAAATCTCTTGGTAAATCTTATACTAATGGTAAGCTTGTGAGAAAAATACTTAGGTCTTTGCCAAATGAATGGGAAGCTAAGGTTACAGAGCTATCCAAGAAGCAAAAGACCTAACAAAATTAGGCATTGAAGAACTCCTAGACTCACTCATGGCTTATGAACTTTCAATGATAGATGACAATAAAAAGGAAACCATTTGGGGGGAAAATGATGGAGTAGCCAACCTATGTCTCATGGCTCTTGGAGAAGAAGAATCCACTCAATATGAGGTAATTTCTAATTATGTAGAACTTGAAAGTGCTTTTAATGAATTACATGACATATTTAGAAACGTTTGTGTTAAGAATTCTAAATTAAAGAAATTAGTTACTTCTCTTTCAAATGATGTGGGTGTTTTAAAAATGGAAAATGCTACTTTGAAAAATGACTTTACGTCTATTGCCAATGAGAAAAACATTTTGAAAAACAATGTTGAGGATTTAAACAAAACTCTTGAAAATTTTGTAAAAGGAAAAGAAAACCTCAACAAGCTTCTTGGAAATAAAAAAAGTATTTTTGACAAAGAAGGCATTGGTTTGATCCTCCTAAACCTTTTATGAGATTAAATGCTCTTGAGACTAATCCCTATGGACCCAAGAAAGTATGGATACCAAGAAAGAAATCAAGATATTTTGTAGGTGGAATCTTAAAGAACACCAAGGACTTCGAGAGGAAATGCACAACAAGAGTGTTCAATCTAAAGAGTAAAATCAGCTCCTACAAGAAGAAGAATGATGAAATGAAAATCACCAAGATGAACAATAGAGGTAATGTATGGGTGAAGATTCCAAAGAGGTAAATGAAGGTATAACTCCTAACACACCTTTAAGCTTAAAGTTCTATATTCTTTAAGGTGTGATTTGTGTAAAATAGGTTGTGTCTAATCATTGCTTCCATGTAACCTAATTATACTAAGTTTGCTAAGTCATGTTCTGCTAGTTTCTTTCAAACATTCATTGAACTCAAAAATGAGAATTATATTATTTTGATGAATGCCTATTAGAATATGAATGATTTATGTATTCATTAACATTTTATATCATGTCATCCATTTCTATGAAAAAGAGATAAGAAGTGATAATTTTTTTTTTGTGAGCATACTTTTCACATCTTATATATGACTTCATACTAATATATTAATTCCTTTTTGAGTCATATCTTTGTAGAATCAATTTTGATGTCATAGCATGTTTTTGAGATGTATACTATTTATATTTTGAATTCTATATTTGTAATCTCAAGAATATTCTCAATATGAAAATTTTATACTTATATGTTTTACATTGGAATATTTGAATGAGTTGTGAAATTTCTTGATTATGATCCATCAACAATGCCTAAATGAAAAGAAGTATCATACGTTTATAGAGACATTGCATCTATCCTATTGAATATCTTTTGAATATGGATTATATTGGCATACATCTTATGAAATGTTTTTGATTGATAAATTATTGAATTAATTGTTTATAACATTCATATTGTGTTCCACATTAAGTAAAATGTTTTATCACACTTGAGTATGTGGATTGAATTGATGAAAATGCCTCTTGATAATGTTATGTGATTAAATGAGATTGTTGCATCATTTTTTAATAAAACAAAGAGCATAACACTATTTTCTTATGCATATTATGCTATGTTCTACAACATGAAAATTCTGAAAAATAGCATTCCAAACTCTTATTTGATTATTGAATTATTTTTCACCTTTTGAGTTTGTGATAAGAAGTGATTTGTGCTATATTTTTATTGAGTAATAGTAATTGTTCTATGAATGCTATATTTACACAAATCACATTAGAAAATGGTAGCACTAACTTAGGGGGAGAAATCATTTTGCTAATATACTTGTTAAACCATTTTGAGATGAACTCCTCTTGAAAGAAAATTGATGATTGAAAAGCTTCCATCTCTTGAATCTAACGTATGCATCATATACTCTCTTAAGCTTTTGAGGTAAAAATTCTATCTTATATCCTTTGAGCTAATACTGTTATTACTTTGATATGAAAAAGATTGATTATGCTTCATATGATTTGCAATGTATACTCTTTGATGATGCTATTGCCTAAAAATCATGCCTATGCTTAAATGGTGTGCTATATATTAAAATTCATGATTTTTCTTGGCATATGGATTGCTATACCTTGAACATGCTTCATTTTTTGGATTTACATTAGCTTCATGAGATTATATTGAGTTTAACCTATTATGAGCAATATTTGGTATTCTATGTAATGCTTGAGCTATGATTGTTAAATCTTCTAGATTGCATATTGGTATTCTTGGTAGATTGCATGTTGATATCATTTTGGTATCCTTATTGGTAACATTTGGCATCCTATTTGATTTTATTGAGGAGAACATTTCAGTTATGAGCTTTCATTGTTCATATCTCCTATTGATTTTGCCAAATAAAATAAGGGGAATAATTTAAACT